TGCCAGGTATTGAGTAGCTACAACAAGGCTTAGATTACCTCTTTGTAGCTCTTGGAAGTCTCAGCTTGCTTAGGCTACACTCTGATTCATAGGATTTGCCCCCCAAAGGCAAATTTAATAAAAAAAAAGGTGGGGAGGAGAAGGGATAGAAAAAGAAGAAACAGAAAGAAAAATAAGCTATTTGACTGGCTTCAAAGCTCTTCTAAATTGGATGATACAGGGTGCATCAAGCAGTAAAATAGCTTCCATAGCAACACATACTCTCCCTGCTTATTTATTTCTAGGGCATCTGTCAGTGACTCTGCTCCCTGAACACAGTTGCAGGGAGTGAAGGTTGCTTGCAGACTTGTAAACAGCCACCTACGTTATTTTAGAACTGCATCTGCACTATTGTCAGAATGTACCTTGGGAAGGCAGGAAGCAGAAAACTGCTGTTCCAAACTGATTATAATACAGATTTATGTTTCCCAGCATTTCCCAAACAAAGACTTCAGTACGGTCTACAAATAGCCGACAAGACACCCTGCAACAACTCAGTATTATAGGCTAAACTTCCTGAAGCCAGAAATTATACAAGACCACACAGGTTAGCTATACAGATCACATTTCCATGTCTAAGTAGAAGACAAGTCTCTCCTCACATGGAAACAATCTTAAATATTTCCAAACTCCTTCCATCATCTGCTTTTCCTGAATGCATGTCAGATGCTTTTAATTATTAAGCTACATCCAAATTGTAACAAACTAACAACAGAACTTGAAGTACAACAAATGCACCAATCCACAAAAACCTATGCCAATATAATGCTTCAGTTAATATATAGCATTTAGCCTTCAATTGGATTTTCTTGTGCTAACTTGTCTACGAGTTATACAGTGTAAGTAGCTCTCTTGATTTTCATCACCCTGGAAACACCACTATGCAGAGGAAAACGAGTCCCAGGAATATAACTATGGATTTACTGCTTATAATACAATAAATTTTTAACTTAGAATATTCTATTTCATGTTCCTAAGGAATTTTCCAGGCAAGTGAGAAAAATATTTCTCATTTTCTTTCAATTCTATATCTGAATATTAGCAATTGACAGTGATTTTGAAGATTACAAGCTCAGAGAGGAAATAAATACAGTCTGGTGGGCATGTACCATTTTCCTCAGCATCAGAACTCAGGACCCGTGGAAAGAAAAAAAAGACTGACCACATTTGTGTGAAAAGTGATTTTGATATTAAAAATCTACACCTAATAGGAAAAGTTGCTTATTTTGTTAATGTCTGAAAGACACAGTGGAAAAATAAACACCCATTACTAGTGCTACAGAATGCTCCAGGACACAGCAGCACTTCCAGAAATCTAATACTACTTACTTCACAAAAAACATACCTGCTGTCCTCCTGCCATTTAGCGTTCTGCTAAAATAGGCAGACTGAGAAGCTATAATATAACTTGTTTGGTCTGGGTTTTTTGGTAAACAATCAAAAGAGTCATCAAGAGCATACATCATGTGCACAATCAGTAATTTAAATGTTACTATCTTCTGGTTATTTTGTAGTCCACCACTGCTGACAGCACAGGGCAGTCATAGCAGAAAGGTGGCTCCCATACACCTCTTAACAAAGCTGCAGTCTGTCTTAGTCTCTTTATAGCCCACATTACATACTGAGGTCAGAAAGCAGCCATTTCTTATTTTTCCCAATAAATAATGAGCACTTATTGTTTGTTTACATGACTGTACACTTGAATTTAATGCATATGTAGTGGCTAATTGGTTTTGATAGTTTTTTCATAAAATAAATCTTTAAAAATAGAAAAACATACTACAAACAGATCACCTACTCACACTGACATAATCACCTACAGATATGTTACCTTCAGCTATTGCTGTATTATCTCACATACATCAGAAGTTACTATTCCAGCAACTTGGCTGCATTCAACTACCTAAAGTATAACCAAAGCATTGTATTTCTCAACAAAAGTACATTTCATTAAATATTTCCATTAAGAATTTTAGGACCATAGAAAAGCTCTCATGAATGGTGGAGAAGTGGTGAATACATTCTACAGTAAATTGCAGTGCACAAATTAAGCCTGCTCTCATTTAAACATTTATTGAAGGCTCCATTTTATTGAACACTATCCTCATGAGAGGAGGAAACATTGTTTCAGCATTCAAAAGACAATGGTATCAGATAAAAGAAATGTCTTTAATAAAGTCACGCACAGCATCTTTCTGTAATCAGTTACCAGACCAAAGCCAAGATAAAGTATAAGTGCAATACATTGATGTAAAACATCTAGCACAAAAACCCTAAGTGCTGTAGAAAGAATACCTGCACTCCTTTATTTCTGCTGAAAGCCACAACTGAAACACACACTTACACAACCACGGACTGAAGTCCCAGTGCAAGCTCAGATCAGCACATACAAACAGGAAGCATTTGCTATTCTGTCTGCAGTGAATACTCAGTACATATACAACTGCAAAGATTAAACATCAAGGAACAAAAACAGCAGTGGAGTAGCAAAGCACAAAAAAGCTAAAATATACTTCAAACTGTACTTTCACAGCATTGTTTCAGGAACATTTGTAGCCCACTTTGATTTGGAGACATCGTATGTACAGGAACAGAATAGAACAAGGGACAAGATTTAAAGGAGAAAAACCAAACAAAGAACAAGTTACATCCATTAATGATTCAGGTCACCTGGAGGCAGCAGACAATGTCAATAGCCACAGAACTGTCAAGCAAACAATGAAACTCAAAAAGATCAGCCTTAAAGAAGCTGACAGCAATTTCATCTTACCAAATAGTAAATATAAAGGTTTTCTTCCTACAGATAACTGAGATAGATGAAGGCACACATCTGGAACTAAAGATATTTTGATTTGGAAACAAAGCAGGACAGGAAACAATGAAAGGAAGACAGCCATTTTCATCATGCTTTCTCCAAGACTAGGTTCTTTTATTATTTTGAGTAAGCTATCCAGAAATAACCAGCACTTCTCAGTAATCTAATAGAAATACCTGAAAGGGCTCTGACGCTCATGAAGTACTCTGCACTCTAAGTAAACACCTAGTTTTTATATTTTTATATTTTGTCCATTTCCAGGCATTCTAAAGCTTAACTACTTCCAGGCGTAAACACACTCGGGGGATAACACCATGACATCTATCATGTTACCTCATCGTTTCTCAAATGGCACTGAGCACAAAGCATTGCCACAAAAACATGGCTACACAACTACAAAGCCCAACTGTCTATGATGTAACAGCCTATGATGATTGCACTTTGTGTAATTACAGCTGTTTCAGCTGTAGTTGTACAGACAGCAGAATATTTGTATGTGCCATGAGAGCAGACAGAACCTTCAAGCAAAGTAAAGAAAAACACAATATGTAAAAAAAATCTTCAGATCAATATGTTGGAAATTCATTTTACAGAAGAAAGTGTTTAAGCATTAGGGAAGAAAGAAAACTAAAAGGAATCTTTGCCCTACTGTGGAACATTGGATCTGAATTCTTTTTCATTTTTAATATCCACAGCAAAAAAAAAAACAAAAACTTAAGACCAAGACGCAGAAGACTAAAAAGTCAATCCGAAATGAGCAGAAGACTTCAGCACTGATCAAAAACCAAAGTGTATAATCAATGAATATAAATTATAATTACGAAATAAACAAGAGAGTTTGGCTAAGCAGGTTATAACAACAAAAAGAGAATAGACAGAATGCTTACCCATGTCCTGGGCTCGCTGCAAAACTCCAGAGGAGGGATCTCCAGAAGAAATCTTCCCCACTGGTAGTCAGCTCTTAAATGGGTGTAGGAGAGGTGCAGCCAGGCTCCACCCCTTCCGGCAGCACAGGTGAATTGCCTTCACCTGTGCTCCTGTGGCTGACTCATTGCTCACCTCAGGTGATCAATCAGAGGTTCAGGCCATGATTCAGCAGTTCCCATACACAAAGAAAACCTGCAGTTTCTTGTGATGCTGATTTAATACTTCACTACTGCACTGTTATGCTTTGGTGCTATTGAGTGATTGGAGATAACAAAAACAGTCTTTGGTATCCGCATCCTGTTGTTACACATTGTAAGAAGAAAGAACACAGCTGATCATTAGAAGTTTTATAAAAAAGATCTGTGGTCACCAGATGTGCAGCTGAAAAGGGAAGAGGTATCAGTTCTGAAAACTATATTATAGGTAAAAAGACAAAACTATGCATAAGCAAAAGAAACCAAATAGAAAAAGATTGCCTCCTCTGCCAAACTTGGAAAGAGATGGGGAGGGAGGCAAAAATGCAGGAACATTTTTTGAAAAATTTAAATGTGTGGGTTTTTTTTATTAACATCATGCAAATCATTATAAAGACTCAGGTTTCCTATTCTCCCCTCTCTTGATTAAAAAAACATAATTGGAAGTGTGTGGAATCAAAATGATCCTGGCTGGTAACATTCTTCAGCTTGACAATAAGCATTTAATGCAAGCAACCATAGTATGCATTTGCTGCTCACTGATACATAAAAGCTCCCAGCAAAACAACGAGATAAGTCATAAAGTTTACATTTTTGTCATTTTTTGTTAATGAGCAATAAACAAGATCTACAGTGGTCTCCATTAGGTTGTTACAACATTCAAGTGGCTGTAAATGCATGTTATGATGTGGAATACCGATAACAAAAATCATAAAACCACAACAGTGCCCCACTCTCATTGTCACCACTGCTGAAATGCACCACTCACAGCCTCACTGCACTGACACCCACTGTTCAGTCTCCATAAATGTTCACAAGCACTGATAAGTGTCAGTGGGGGCCCTTTTTTCCACATGGAGGAATCCAGTTCCACCCTTTGCTCCACCCTCCCCTCACTTCCATGTCAGGCGCCATTCTGTCACAGTGCCCCTCTGCTGCCATCTGTCACACAGCAACAACGTGTCACAGAACGCTGGTGGGAAGGTTCAGCCTCTGCTGCCATCCCACCAACAGCTGCCTCTGACATCATGGGCTGACATCACAAAATAGGAGGCATTTTCAGAGCAGCCCTCACATTCTTTCTTTGTCAGCTTCTAAATACTCCCAGTTACCACAGGGAAAAAAGGATCTCAAACGGCCCTCCCATCTGAACTGCAAAACCAATGACTTCTGAGTTGTGCCAGAATTCAAGGATGAGAACTTGAAGATTTACTAAGGGAGAAGGTAGAAACACAGTTTCACCAACTGGAAAGAGAGGAAAAATACTTTTGAACAAGTGCAGCTTCAGAATAGGGTTTAAAGAAAAAGAACCTGACTTACACATGTATTCTTCAGAGTCAGAAGGGAATACACTTGAAATATTTCCAGGTATCTTTTGTGTAACCTTTTTTTTTTCCTGACAGTATAATTTCAAATGCTTATACAGACACAAATAATTTGAAGAAGTGGTTTGAATATGATCAGAGAAAAGGCCTTCAGCATGAAGACAACAGATAAATAAGTTTTATTCAAATTTGGACTTGAATATCCCCAGGCTCAAGGAAATGAGAGGCGAAGAAATGCTCTGTAATAAGCAAGGGAAATTCTACCCACTCAGCCCCACTCTGTGTGCCCACTCAGGCGCTCCTCTAGGAGCTGCACAGTTCTCCTGCTCAAAGCCTCTCACCAGCTCTGCTCCACCTCGCTGTCAGGGTGAGATCGCTGTCTCTTCTCCCTTCCCGTTAGCAGCACACAGCAGTCTGGCCAAGCCATCCTACCTACTCCTCTCACATTTGCTCACCAACTTCAGTTGGCCCTCTTCATAGACCAAGAGATAACCAGTTGCATAAAATAAGGCAAATAAATTGTTATTGCATAGTAATTAGATAAATTATACTATAAAACACTTCCAACAGCCACAGGCTTGAAGGAGGATTTTCCGTTGGTGAAAGAAGGTCTTTACTATCACAGCTTAAAACAAAGAGCTATGGCAAGGATCTGAATGAAAATCCAAATCCTCAGTGGTTTAATTTTTTTCCTGTAAATGTTTGGAATGTTGAAGAAAAAAAAAAAATCAAAGAAAAACATTTACATGCCTCAAACATTTTTAAAAAATTAACATGGTCTAATGAGCACTATTTACTATATAATATTTTCACATTATGTAAATATGTGCAAATTCCCCTTGCAGCATCTATGTGGGGACACAATATAAAAGACTGATCCATCAAAATGCGTATCACAGATCAGAGGCAGAGTTACCCGTATTAAGGTGCTGTGAATTACCTACAGCAGAAGAGAAAGTACTTTCTTCCAGACAGTAAGCTCTGGAGCGTTCTCCACACAGCACCACCACCTACAGAATCATTCCAGCAAGGGGAACCAAACTCCACTCATTTTTCCAATGATAAAAGATGTTATTCTGACTAAATGCAGATCCTGTAAAGTTAATGAGAAGTTATGAACAAACAAGCTCCATTTTTTTCTTTTAAAAGATAGATAAAGCAAATACTCCTATGTAGGAGTTCCATTTTCATTAGCGAAGACTTCACTCACCATTTATCTTCTGAACTATTTGAAGATGTGCAGAGGCTGTTGTGAACTGCAGCCAGCCAGATCAGAGTCAGAAAAGAGCAAAGGACAAACTGCTCGCTGTCTAACAGATGGAGTGATTAACCACGCCAGAGGAATCCAGTAAAAGCTAAGTGAGAATTGCTAGCAGGAGCATGGTTTGCAAGAGCATTTAATGGGAAACTTGGCCTTTCTGGCCTTTCTTGTATTTGTAAATTGATATTTTACAGTACTTCCTTTCTCTTGCTTGTTATGGCTTCTATGTCTACTACTTCAAATCCTTGTCTTACTGATGCAAACTTAAAACAATGTGCTCATTTCTGAACTATTCGGAAATGAAAAGTCCTCAAGGTTCTGAGCAAAAGTTCAAAACGATATTTAATATTTTAATAATTGAGCTCTAAAAATTTAACTCAGTCTCACATTAATGTCCATCAAGACCTTCTTGATTTGTCTGACTTATTTTCCTGGTCTACTGCAGCTCCTGCTAGTTTCAGCCTAGAGGAATGGAGATTAAATGCCCCAGGCATCTAATAAAACTGTCCTAAAATTGTTAACTGAACAAACACAATATGAAGATCCACAAATAGTGTTTTGTGTATGCGTTGTTGCAAGCAAGAGGCATAGTCTTAGAACGATTAAACTTACAAAAAAAAAAAAAAAAAAAAGAGCAACTGCCTAGAGTACAACCGACAACTTATCTCAACATTTTTTAGCCAAGCAGACAATATTCAAAAATTCAACAATTTTCCAGATCATACCAGATGATCAAATTGGGTTTTCTGTGAAATTATATTCAGGAAAGCGTACTACAATAGAAGTCAAAGAAAGTTATGAAGAACAGTAGCTAGCTTCAATCTGCCTTCTTGAATATGCATCCCTCCTACTACAAGCTGGCAAGTGAACTTTTCTCCCAGTGAACATATTCATGTTTCTCAATGCAGTGTTTTCCTGGAATAGCTCAGTACACATCAAGATATGGGACATTGGCAGAGTGGAAAAAGTTCAGAGGAATTCCAAAGCATCTTGAATTTTGTTAAAAATAGTGACAGTTTAGATTCCTGGAACTGGTCCTGCTAATGATGGGGGAAATGGCAGCATGCAATCCACTTCTTATTTCTCAAAAATAATCTACCATGGCATAAAGAGTTCTCCTTTATCAGAGCAGACAGTACAACAATTTCATCCCTTAAAACAGCATTAGCAGGGAATCAAGAGTAGATTTAGGCTCCCAGTGTGAGGTTTCCTAGTTGCTTTGGCAGTTTACTACCCAATCCTAATTGCTCCATTTATACTATTAAGCTATTATATAACACTTAGTCATAAATATTTACTACCAGTATCATGTGGTATAACCAACATTCCCTCTCTTTCTTGTTTTTTTTTGTTTTTTTTTTAAGAAAATGTTTTATTTTCAAAAAGACGACATTATAACTGAGAAAAATAATGATCATAGTAAGAAGTAACCAGTTATGTGCTTCTGTTAGCAAATAACCTAAAACCAGCAAAGATACTTGACAGATTGACTTTCAAAACCAGAGGATAAAAGGTATGGAAGAAGATAGATTGACATACAGTCAACTGAAAAATCTTTTTTTTCCCCCTCCTTTGCTGGACCCAAATATCTTTTGGTAAAAATGTATCCAACTAAAGTACTTTTAATTTTCAGTACTCACTTTCACTTCCTTCTATTCTATACAGACCATTATCTCTTCTATTTTTCAATTGGATCTCTGAGGCTAAGCCCTTGTCTTCCCATAAAAACCAAGATAAAATACAGACAGGAAGGAGAGAAGATGCAATTAATTCATGTTGAGTGAACAGGCAAACAGGAACTGCTGGAAAGAGATCACCCCCTCAAAAAGTCATATATTATTTGATGACAATTAATTATACTTTTCAAAACATCTATGTTCCAGCACTCTGAACAGCAGACAAGAGCATTCCATTTCAAAGAAAGGAGAACATAGCAACACTCACTCTGTAAGAATACATGAGAGAAAGCACATCTATGAATCATAACAGAAAGCTGCCTAGCCCTGCAGCAGATTCTTCCAGCCAACCAGATATACACAGCATAGAGCATGAAGGATTTTTGCATTTACTCAAGCTGAAAAATTCATGAGCCTGCAATATTAACACGATGCCACATAGATTCCCAGTGACAGAGCCCTGGTACTCAGCCAGGGCATTCCATTTCCAGCTGATATCACATTACAGCTCAATTGTATTTAGACATCATTTGGGGCACATTAGGGCTCAATAACTAAGTTGATCAAGTATTCATTGTATGGTAAAATGTATTTCACAGCTATGTTTTGGGGAAGAAGATGGATTTCGTATACCACATGGCTTCTGGACAATTTCTATTAAGTGTATGAGCAGAGTAACTCCTAGAAAACAACGCTGGGATGGGAAGTGCAAGGGGCGAAGCTATCTTCTGGGCCTCAACCAGCAGAACAGGAATGCTTGAGTTCTCAGGTGGTAAACACACAAGAATATTTGAGTGGGGAGATCTTAGGATGGCTTTTCATCCGTTACTCTGCAAAGTCCGTTCCTGGGAGGGGGGGGGGGTCAATACTAGAAAAGCCAGACCTGAGCAAAATTCCTCCCGCTAAAAGAGAGGAATCCAGGGCTCCAACATGCATACAATTAAAACTGCCAGTTTCTTTCTTGCTCCATTCTCCCTTTTCTCTCTAATAGTTAACTATTAACCACCCAGAAATTCTTTTAATAATAAGTGATGAGAGAAGATATCAGACCTCTCTACCCATTGGGCAGAATGTTGTCAATCAAGCATGCTGCATCTTCAAATATAAACCCACACTGAATAAAACAGCAAGATGCACACTTCACACAAAAACTTGCTACAAGTTCTGCTAGAGGTGACCTTCAAAAATCACTGACCCTTTGTGTCACAGTATTTATTTTGAAGTAATGCTACTTTTGGAGTAAGAGTGTTTGAGGCATTTCTCTCTTCATTCACAGTGGCCAGAGGCATCCATGGGCAGCCTACTTGGAGCCCAGCAGAAAGTACTCAGACACTTTTTTTTTAAGGTGGAATCTGGGTGCACATTACATCTTATTTTGGCTTGCTTTTACACTGAGTTACTACAGAATAACTGTGCTTCACATGATTTTATTCCTCTTGTTTTTCAGAAATAATCGAGGTATTAACATGCTGAAATAGAAAAGAGAAGCTGAAATATAACCCCACACAAGCACATGCAGTCACCCTGCTGGATAGTCAATGGCAGACCAAAGTTCTGCTGCTGTTGAAACAGTCTCAAGATGATTTCATTGAAAGAAAAAGAGGTTGGTGTTTTATTGATCAAAAAGTTCTCAATTTTCCAGACAAGAAATCCTAAAAGTAAAGAAATTGTGCATCTGAGTCCCATGATAAAAACATTGATTTTATAATGCATTTATAGGTAAATGAGATAGCTACTTCATTCCAGTTAAATAAACTGTTATGTTTCAACACAGTGTCTGCCTTCCTTGCCTGATAGCTGGCAAGATAGATGCAAAGTAGTAGTGTGGATATTTTTCTTAGCCCAATTATCATTTCTGACATCTCCTTCTCCATGAGCTTCAAGCTCAGTAGATCAAGAATTCAAACTCAGCTCCTGTTAAGCTCATGGGTGCTCCCAAGTTTGGGCGCCAGGGTGCAACAAAACCTAGAGCAACTATTTTGGTCTCTGCTTAGTGGATACATAATTACTAGCAATAAGCACATGCATCTTTCCATCCTTCTCAGATAGCAACCTTTCACGCTTTATTATCACTTATTAAAGTCTCCTGCTGGCTTGATTGAAGTGTGTAGGCTGCACCACACTTACCTGCAAATAAAGAAACAAATGAAGGTGCTTTAAGTTACTTCAGAAGCTCTCTCTGTTATTACATGCCTCCTTTTCATATTATGCATTCCACACTTTGCTTTTGTGTTTCAGTTACAATGTTGTTTCTTGGTGACATAAAAGTAAAGCTTGACTATTACTGCCCACCCTTTTCTTTTTGTGCTTTCCCTCACGGGATGCAATTTAGCACACATTACTGACTTGAATTCTTCTGAAAATCTTAAAAGTATGTCTCAGCCAAGCAGGTTCTTACACTTCCTACCAGTGGATAGAGGAATTTTCATCTTTTCATATAATTTTGTTACAGAATATACATAATCCTATCTTTCTCAAGCGAGAGTATGAAGCTAATTCTCTGTATAGCTGGAGTACTGCACATAGCCAAAATCTCTTTCCTACCACAGCACTCTTTCTTACAACTTCTTCAAAACCAAGATTGTTCTTACAAACTAGAAGCTGTTAAGCAGGGAAAACAAAACACCAAGTGGTTCATTTCATCTCCTATCAATTAAGAATGCATGCATGTGGGATTTCAATCTTACCTAGCACCTGCAACATTTGACTTCTTTTAAAGAAGTCTGCTTTCCCTGTATTCAGGGATGCATAATCAAAGAAAAGACAAACCCAATAAGATACAGTAATGTCTTACTCTACAACAGAGGTTTCACCCATAGACCGCCAATTCAGTGCCTACACCATCTTCCCCACCTAACAACGTTCATAAAAGCATTTGCTTTCTTTAGTTATATTTTAAAGCTACGAGCTGGGTCAGTTCATTATATCAAAAAGCATATTACAGCTTCAGAAGATGTAAAAACATAGCTGTCATCTGCTGCCACTGGCTATCTCCTTCAACTTTTCTCTTACCTTAAGATATTTGTCTCAGGAAAAAAGTTTGTGGACAATCAACACTCCACTGTTGCCATTGCTGGAATTTTAATTTTTTCCAAAAGTGGCTGGATAAGCCACTAAAGAGAGTCTGCTTTACAACCTGGGTTTTAACCTTCAGAAGGTTCTCCAGTAGTGAATGTCATCAGATATCAGATCATCCTTCTCCAAGAACTCAAATGTAAGCACATAAACCCAAAATGACAACTCTCCACACTGTGACTTGCAACGTAGTAAGTTCTGCACATTAAGTTACTCACATGAATTTCTGAGAGCTTCAATTAAATGCAGGTTTCTGAATTCTGATTGCCTACTTGGAAAACTAGAAAACTTTTTTCCATGCCAGCTACACAAGGAAACAAATTACACAGATGTACTGCCAGCCTGTCAGTTCTCACCCCTTCTTTCATAACTTTTGAATGAATTGGCTAATTTTGATCAAATTTGACAAAAGGACCTGGTCTCAAAGATACCAAGTTCCAAGTTTCCATGAGAACTGACAGATGAGTAGGAAAAAAAGACTGACATGAGCCTTCTCAGTGAGGAAAATATTGCTGTGTAAGCTCAGCAATTATCTGTAATGCTTAGATACCAACAAGCTGATCAGTGCGTAAGTATCAGCCACACAATCCACTTGCACGTAACTCAGAAGCAACCACAAGTCTTCTGCTTCTCACCAGCAAGGAAATGGAGGAGTGGGCTGGATATACATTGAGGAATCAGTGGAGAAGCTGGGTTTTAGCAGTGAGACGGAAATGAAAGGAACTGTAGCTTGAGTGGACGTAATCGAATTGGGAACCAGGCTTACATTTATTAACTGTAATCAGATCTTTTTTATCTTTTTTTTTTTTTAAGAGTTTGCAAAGTGTTGATAAATAATCATGCGCTATAATCCAAAGCATTACAAAACACAAGAAAAGATCAGAGAATGTCAGATGCAGCATGATTTGACAATGTTGCAAACAAGTTGCTAGTTAATTCAAGTAGGCCAGCATTACAGTGCTCTTGAATCTTCTTGCACAACCATGTGCTTTTTAGCTATGTCTACGTCAGTTCTATCAGTAATTGTACAGTTGACACCTGGGTTGTTAGGGACATATCCCAGATTATTAGCACCTCAGTAAGTGAACCTTTAAATAAGAGATTCTTGGTATATTCTGGAAATACTCTCGCCTTTCCAGGCTTTGTTTGGGCAACCATCTCAGCCAAGAAAACAATTGACTCTCAATCCTGTCACTTCAGGCACTCACTTTTGGTTATTTTTCTACTATGGCTCCTTGATCTTTTTCAGATACTGTTCTCAAAGACACGGTTCCTTTCTGTTGATGAATTACTACATTTACATCTGCTCAGATTAATAAACACTCCAGAACTGAAGGTCCATCACCACTACTGAGAATATTTTGCTTGAATTATCATTCAGGCAATCATACCCCTCCCTCTTGCAGATGTTACAGAGCATAAAAGATAAGAAATAATTCCAAAGAAATCTGCATTGCAGTCATCAGAGTAAATAAAGGATAACTGACAGGACACTGCACACCAGGCAAATTACTGTGCTCTTTATAGAGAAAGGTAATGGATTTCTTTTCCTAAAATAGTTTCTCTCCTAGATCCAGAGGCTTTTATGTTAAATTCAATATTTTTAGCTCCCAAACAACCATTCTGAGTTAAATTGCAGCAGTTTATTACCATCAGAGTAAGAAAGCAATAATAGATCACTGTGATTCTTCTGTCCTTGTTATAGGAATCGAAGAGTCATTTACTAACAGAGGCAACTGACGTACCTCCAAAAGCAGAAATCACACAGCTCCATCTTGTGGAAAATAGGACTCCCTTTGTTCAAGTCCTACAGATGACTTCTGTCTTTATTATTGCTTTAGTTTTAGATATTTTTATCTACAAGGTTTTTTTCCCCAATGTAGATATTTTTCATTTAATGAGTAAACTATACAATTTCATCAAGAACAGGAGCAATCTGCCTAACATCTTCATTTATACTTACACTTAATTTTATTTGCCTGTAAGATTTTCCCAAACAGGTTCATACTTCAGCAGCTCATCTTCATAAAATTAGGTGCAACTTAATTTCCTTTATGTCCTCCCTGTATTCTATGAAGGGTCAAACCCTTTGCAGAAGTATCCTCTCCGAGCATGCCCATAGATTACCACTACTTTTAGGCTACTTGTAATACTCAGCAGGAAGCATTTATAATCCAATTTAGGTAGAAAGAAAGTGCAAGGAAGCAAAATGTGTCTCAATTCATGTAAATCAACACAGAATTCAAATATCAATGCCAATAAAGTAACCCAAGTCATAACTCTCACCTTAGACAAACAAGATCAAGAAAAATGTCTCTACAGACATGGTTAAAGATTCTGGAGACAGCTGTAGCACCAATCCTGCCCCTTTGCTGTCCTCCCATTGTCCTTCTGGGGAGGGACAGTACATCCAAAGTAACCATGTTACCATACATGCTCCACAAATGGAATTATATTACAGACTGTGCTTAGAAACACAAAAGGTCTTCCTTCACCCTTCCTTGAAAAGATTTGTGTTGCAGGGAGAGAGACCTTTAAAGCCCTCAAAAAAGTCAAGTTTATAGCTATCCTTATCCCACTTCTCTGACAATTATCGTACCACTTACTATGGAAGGAAAATACCTAATTTAAGATAATGTAGTTAATGCAAACTAAGAGTTTTAGACTGAGAAAGAAACCTAGGAATTCCAACATTTTTGAACAGTAAGGGCTTCTCTTCACAGGGGTGATTATTTACCCTCAGTTGTATCACTCTACTCTTTTGTCACTGAGGAAGTATTTCATGGGAACTAATAGAAAAGTAAGCTTCAAACAAAACAAAAAATACTCAAATATTTACTCTGCCATACACACTCATTTCCTCCATAGACCACATTTAGGACAATTATTTACCAGGCTTTGCTTTCCTATTTTGTTCACTGTTTAATACATACAGCGACCTGGTCACCACTATCATATTTTTAAGGAACAGCAGAGAAACAGTTTTAACAGAACCCAAATGTTGTAAAATTCTCTACTTAATATCAACAAGTCTCGAACATAAGTTCATAGCTTGTCTGTAGTTTTAGGACTGAAAATAATTGCTACATAAGGGTTGATCAAGGTGGAAATGAAAAATCATAAGGCACTTGTATAGTGATTATACACAGTGTTCTACTTTTTTTTTCATTTTTTCCTGTGTAACATTCATAAGCAAGGTATTTTAGAATAGATTTATCAGAGGTCTACAAACTGAGATTCATCATGAAAAAGTTCCTTGGTTTGCGGCACATAACTCATTGTAGAGCCTTTGCAGCTTATTAGGACATATGGAAAAATGCATTGTATTTGGAGAAGAATTTATTTTTCCTAAGTTGCAGTCTAACATAGCATTTCTCCATCAGATTTTCCCCGCCCACATTCACTGATGCTCTCTGAAAAAACAGTGAGTAATATGACTCATGGGACTAGCTGCAGATGACTCTGGGAACGTATTTCCCATTAATTTACAATTGAAATGCATAAGTGGTCACAAATGACCACAAACATTCCCTCAAGTCTTCTAATTTAATTAAAAGGATAAATGATCACAAGCATTTTCATCTTTCTTTAATTTGTTTTAAATTAATTTCCAGTCTGAGAGCCAGAAGTCCTAAGAGAAGAAGGAATTGTAGACAGGAACTTTTGCTGATGATCAGATATACCAGATCTGTAAGAAAAGCATCCACAATCCAATTCAGAAGTTTGTAATAAGCTCCATTTGAACAGAATGGATTGTTTTTCAGTCACATTTTGTATCCCCACAACAAAGCAAACATTTTGACATATGCATACAAAAACGCAGGCACAAAAAAGCTGTTTCAAATACAAACCTGTGATAACCAAACCAACTGCTTATTAAAGTACCATTTTGGACTAAAGCAATCCAAAGTAGTCTGAATCTACACAAATAGGCAAAGAAATGCAATAGTGAAGAAGTCTTCTAAAAATTACCAGGTCTGTATTTCTAGCAACTTGCCAAGACCTCCAGAAAACAAAAAAACACACACACACACACACACACACACACACACAAAACAAAACAAAACAAAAAAACACACAAAACAAACAAACAAAAAAAAACACAAAACAAAACAGAAGGACATCTTGATTTGTTTCCCACAAAGCCCCTACTGAGGATGGGTCATCATCACCACACCTCGCCAAACTCACCCTCCATACTGAAACATTTTGGCATTCCTCTGATCTGGTAGAAGTCAAAACAGTCACTCTCTAGGTATGATTGACAGGAAAAACACCTCATCTCTTCCACTAACATTTTCTTATTGTATGAAATTTCATGAGTATCAACTTGACTTCTTACTCAATTTTGTAGTGGTTTTTGTTTCTCTAAGAATTATTACTCTGAAACACCAGAAACCAAAATCAACAGAAAGAATGAAGAAAAGGAACTAAAGGAAAGGATTTGCCAAGGTTCATACCCCACCCCACCAGCATCCGTCACTGCTGACAGATAAGGGCTACTTCTGAACCTAGTTGAACACATTACTTCATCCTCTTTATCCAATCAGTCTTCAAATCGCATTCCAGAATCTGCCAGCAGGGCTGCCAATTAGTGTCAATCATGGCAGGCTTTTCTGTGATCTGGACACCTTTTCAAGAGAAATTGGATTGAGTATATCAATCTACTTTACATCTGACCCTAAAGAACTTGTGTTACTACCAAGAATAGCCAGGTTGAAATAGTAATCTATAGATATGAAAAATGCATTCCCATGCTCTAAAAGAAACTATATTGTGGAATTCATAGTTGAAAAGCCCAAGTACTTCGAGTAATTCCAAGAAAGTGCTAAGAGAAAAGATAAAGTAATTTATTCAACAGTGCTACAATTATTTCATTCCTCAAAAGTGAGTGATTAACTATTATGTTAATTAGGATAAATACTAAGAAAGTATTAAAGCAATATTACAAGAGAAATCAACAACATTACAACTAAGTATTACAACTCTTACAAAAATACTTTGTATGCAATGCAGAGTTTTCCTACAGTGTTTAGAAAGCAATTATGCAGTGGTTACTGCTATTATTCTGGCACGTTTAATCAGTTGTAACCCTATGAATGCTCAATATTTCAGTGCATGCCATTAAAATTAAATCAATCAAATTATAATCAAATTATTTCAAAACACAGCATTAGAAATAATTCAGTATTTCCTGTTTTAGCATGAAACAAATATATATGATTAAATATTAATAAGGAAGGTCATTCTAGTTTAGGAAAAAAAAAAAAAACAACAAACCTGTATGTATAGTAAAAACATACCTGAATCTGCTGTCATCATTTCTCTAGTCCTTTTCCAATACACGTGCTCGGATAAGGCACTGAAACTGCCATCCTGAATTCCCTCATAACCTCACCAGGAGCTTTGGCTGCAAGAGATATCAAACATTAGACTGAAGACTGGGAGAATTCAAAAGCCAAATGCCCAGAAGCCATGGCAGGTAACCAGTTTTAATATAAAGGCTCTTGTTTTATTATGTACACATATTAATATGATTCTTTGGATCCTAAAGTACTTCAATCAACATTTAAGAGTTTTTAAAAACTTCATAATATATCCCTTCTATAGGATTATGAACTTTTGCAAGTGGGTTCATGAAGTAATGTTTCAAAGACTAAAAAGGTAGATGAAGCATGTTTTCCAGATCTCTTTGAAAGTATTTTAAAATTAGAGCCCTGCCCAGCACACAATGCCACATTCAAAGCAGTAGCATTCAGTGAATTTTAGCTTTATCTTCTCTTTCTTACTCTTCTCCCCTCTCTCCCTAGCATGGCTACCGTTTTATCAAAAAACAAGTAATAAGTCCTTCAATTAAATAAAACTAAATTCAGGCTAAAAACAACCAACCAACCCTACACATAACAGAGACTCAGTTACTTTAACACGGTTTACTAAGCAACAATAAGACAACAATAAACACACACAGATTGCAGTTGAGCCTCCTTGGCAGTTTTGTGATGACCCATTCTGAGGTCTCATTTCCTTCATTTGAAGTGTTCTCAATTTACTTTAGTGTATTTCTACCACAGAAGGGTATTCATAAGTAGTTCAGAATCTCCTCCATGTTTCCTTGCAGCAGTCTATCTGCTGATCACAACCGCTCCTGTCACTTGACACCTTTCTGAGTTGCACTTTTGATACAGAGTTCTTAAATAAAAACAGTGAAAGCAGTACATATATATCCACTGTTCCAAACTTCTGATGAACTAGTGTTTCCCTTTAAGGCATGTAATTTTCATAATGAACATCATCCCAAATATCATTGCAGAAGTACACTGTGTATCAAACACCATTCACTTTTCTTTTTTCAGGTACATCCTCTTAGAGTCTCATTAAGCAAAAGGCAACAAACATCTGGATTTATTGAAGGTTTACACTAATGAGCTGCAAAGTTGTTTGTATAAATTCCTTTTTTAAAAAGCCATAAGTTGGTGACTATCTGCCAATTCTGCCCATCCATATTTGTGCAATTAGGATTTCTTTTTTAATTGGCTATATGGTACATTCTCATTTATTGTAGACTCACAGCTCTATTCTAGACCCATGGGAGTATAAACGAATTTGCTTAACAGATATTTGATTTTAGAGAAATCAGGTCATTGTAGGAGGAGCAAAATTACACCTCCAGTTAACTTGTATCCATCGTAGGTACTTTATCAGCTAACTACTTCGTTTTGAATTTTCTACCTTCTGTTTACGAGAGTCTTCTAAACCACAGCAACCAAACATCACCCCACACACCAAGGTCAGGAAGCACCTGCTATCTGCACTGCTGGCAGTGAGAAGCCCAGCCAGGCATGAGCAAAGCAGCACATTTGTTGAGCAAAGCACACAGTGCAAGTGTTACACTGGTGCTATCCTGATGACTGGAAGGCAAACAATAACCACTCTCATATAACTCATTGGTTTCGTATTCATCCACTTTTTTTGTTTGTTTTTGTACTTTTAACGCACTTTTCCCACCACATATGCAAAGTGACAGACTGCTAACCTTGCAGATAATTGCACCATATGATCATAACATGTTTTAACAGCAATTGTCAGATGTAAAGCCACATTTGTCACACCACCAAGCCACTGCCTGCACTTTCAGAGCAAAAAATGCCCAAACACAAAGCAAGCTACCATTAAACACGCTCGTCTACCAAGATAATGTTTGGTTTTAAAGTTAAAAGTTTGATTATCAAACACAAGAATTGTAACATCAGTATAGCACAGATGTTGACTTCACTTTGCAGAATTCAGCAAGGCTTCTACATATGGGGTTGCTGAAGCAATCACAGGAAATACGCCAGAGAGGCAGACTGGGAAGAGAGCATGATTTCCTGGGATGACAGAGGGGAACACACAAAAACAGAGAGCTGAAGAGCAGGAGGCAGCAACAGAAAATCTGAAAGCACGAATCATATCACAAGATTTCTAGAAGCAGGTATCTTTCTGCATAGAACGCATTTCTGTCTCACCCCCAGGTACAGCTATCTCTATTGAAGCCTCTCTCCCTCAAAAAAAAAAAAAAAAAAAAAAAAAGCAAGAAACGTATGCCTCCATTCAAGTTTTTTAAAAAAGAAAGACAATTAGTTTGTTCTTGCACCAGTACTGGGGTCAGTTTTCTATTTCATCTTCCATCCTGTACATCTGGGTCTGAAAAAAACCAAAAAAACAGAAAAAAAAAACAGGGTTCTTCTCTTCCTCCAGAGGCCACCTCAGATATGCCCAGGCTCTGTGACCAGAGCTCTGTAGTTCTGTCTCTCCCATGTCACACTTCAGTTTCTGTTTTAAACTGTACTTTCATAAACATTCCTTTAATCCACACCCCTTTAATATTACCTTTACTTTTGTGGACTTACATATTTAGAATACTGCTCACTTTTCTGTCTAGGTATGGTTTAAGTCTTAAATACCATAAGGTTTGTGATTTAATGCAATTCTTCATTAACATACAAAGATTACATCTGTACAGCAATGTACTTGTTTTCCTAGCAGGAAAATAGTGAAACAAACAGTGTGTTACATTTTCAAGAAAAGATTAAAAGTCAGATGAGGTCTTTGAGCACTGCTACATAAGACATCTTATCTGACTAACCTACAACCTCCCCAGGAAAGCATACATCAGTATAAAATAAAGCACATGAAGTTTGAAAGTGACTCAAAGGACTCTTGGAGCTCAGGAAAGGCATTATATTATTATTCTAGTCTAAATAAGGAGCCAGCTTCAGTCCTAACTGCAAACTGATTACTGCTGCTTTGTAATTAGAGATTTTCTACAGGCTCTAAAAAAAAGTCTCCTCTTGTAACATGATGGAAAGCACAGCAACTGACAGCAGAGCAGCAAGGTCCTAGGCTGCAGCAAATGAGGATCTGCTCTAATGCTGTGGGCACAGAAATAAAGGACAAAACTTGCGTACTTTTAGAAGGCCTCAGGCATGCAGGAATTTCAAGTGAGATCCCCTCACTTCCACTGCTAGCCCTTAAATGAGGGCTGAGAAGGGGTGGATCCTGGTTCTATCCTTCCATCACTCAGTGCACTGCATTGCATGCACCTGAGCTGGGCTGGCCCTGCCTTCCCATCAGGTGCTCCATCACTTTGTCAGGCCATAACTTAGCACTCCCACTAAACTTCTCTACTTCAAATTGAATATAAAACATCATTAAAAATAAAACAGATCACACATTCATAATACTATACAACTAAGAAATCCGAGAGGTAATTTGATACATATCTAACTTTTTGGACAGATTTATTGAAAGTAAGGAGCATGAAAGATACATTGATTTGAAATGAAAGCAAAGATGTAGATTCCAATTTTGATTCTGTACTGCACAACAAATCCCAGGAAACGCGTTCGAGTTTATTGATGCTCAGGAGATGTTCCAGGCACTAAGAACTACAAAAGAAAGTTAGTTTTCTAGACATATTTCTCAGAAATACCATTCATTCAAAGTAGGATATAAAAGCCAATAATTACTGAACTAGAGAGGAGAGGCAGTACTGAAATCTCCAAACTCTTTCCCTTGCAATATGATGCTGACAGGAGGTAGCACTATTTCTCACTTTAAACAGCCCAAAATAAAAATGTTCCAAGGAAATAGTGACATCGTACTGCACAGCATTTATACCTTATGCTTCCAATTGGACACTATATTTTTCTTCCTTATAAGCAATTAACCATCCTTTTTCCCTCAATAGAATAGGTCAGCTATGCAGATGGCCATTTAAATTAGTTACAAGGCCAGCTGTACTTGGCAGAGTGGAAGCAGAGATGTGCCTTTTCCTTTGTTTGGAAAAAAAATCTCTTTTCCTAGAAAAGTGATCTAAATGAATGTGACCTGGTAGTTCTGCTGTACTAAAGAACTCAGGAAGAAGATGCGCATCTTTGAACTGAACATTCAGTTCTTCTATCAAACACAGCAGAACAGCCACAACCACCAGATTTCATCTCTGTGTTAAAACGAAAGCTCTGCCATGGTTTTAACCCATTCAACAACATATTCCAAACTCCTGATTTCTAACCTTAACATGGATACGTCATTCATCTTGGAGAATATCTATCCAAGGACTGACTGCTTCACTGGCAGGGCTCTAGCAAAGCACTGTGTTCTAAAGGTGAACAGCTGAATCATTAGTTCCTTCTTTTGTTAAGGCCAAAGTAGTTAAGTTGTAGACATACTGCTATCAACTGAACAGCTTAAGGCTTCTGAGTGCATATAATCATGTCCCTTAGAAATACATGATAGCATTGAATATACGCAGTGCATTAATGTACTTAATCTGTCACTGTTATATATTGCTACAATAAAGAAATCTCAACTTATTTCATGACTCTAACACCTATAAACTATTGAAGTGGAATGTTTTACACAGTCATCACATATGCTACTTCTCTAAGATGCATATGTGAAGAAAACAGTCTAAATCAAGATTGTTCAGGGTACTTATTTCAAACTATACACACCATTATGCTTTTCAATTTAGCTTTGCAACTGTGGATAAAAAAATACTGTGGAAATCATTAACAGCTGAAGTTTAATTCTGAGTTCACTTAAGACAAAGTGAAGAAACATAACTGCTGTTCTCGTGGGGCACTTACAGCTAGGAGGGGAATCAACGTGATGCAGTCGCTAAATCCGGGGTCTCGCAGTCTGCGCAAAGGTAATCCAGGATGAGAACTTAACTTACCCTTACTAATATTCCCTATCCATCAGCCCACAGCCAGATCAAATCTTTAATCAGAGCTCATTTTTAACTCAGCAAAACCATGTCATGATTAACTTTCACAATAGCTTCATTGGAAAAGAATAATTAGATTTTTCTTTATAGGAGAAATATTTTTTCATCTGTAAAGAGTGTTCTGTATGCAGACTGCTGGAGAAAAATCTATTGCAATCGATCACAAAAGGTGCCCACCTGAGAACTAAGTGTTCCAAGAACACAAACCAATGTGCCTATAAGACAACTTCTAATCTCCCAAACATGAAACACTTCTTTCGATTTTGAATGCTATTTTATACTAACAGATACATATCAGAATTTCTATTTTTGCTGCTGTTTTTCTCAGAAAGGAAATTTCTATGTATTTAAGTCTGTATGTATAAATTGGGAAACTGGGTAGTAAACCTGTGCATTAATTCAGGCACTTTTGCTTCAAAAAACTTGTACTTTAATTGTAAGCTTCAACAGCTTGCTACTTGTATAAAAGTTCGGAAAGGAACAAAAATGCCAACATTAATAATGTGACACAAATATTAATCTCTCAATGTTCATCAGTTAATGAGTTCAAGGACTGACTGGTAAACTTAACTAGAGAAAACACCTCAAAACACACACAGGATTTGAGATCAATAAATATAGTCCATTTTACTTATGAAGAAGTTAGCTCTGTGGGAAATTGAGAAATGCAAGAATACGTGGGCAATTTCTGTGAAATCTGCCCTTGTCTTATTAAGCGGATGGCAGAACTGAGGCTTCCAACACCCCACAGGTGGGGCAGGTTTCTCTCACCAAGCTGATGCTGTTGGTCAGGCCGCTGCCCGCACAAGGGGTAAGGCCAGGCGCACTGAGCAATCCGCAGTGCGGGCAGTCTCAGCACATTTTCACAGCTGAAGATACTGAGCTATTCTTAAACACAATGACAGGATGGAAGACATAATCACACGTTTGAGAATTTACCTAAATATTGGTTTTCTTCTCACAAGGAGTCTTCCTCAACTCTGGACATTATAAGTAACAAAAGTTTATTAATACATTGCACAAGAACTGTTACTAGTTCTCAGACCAGAGTGTTGTCACTACACACACAAATAGATCAATAACTTACTTATGGCTTCTTCTGTCTTTCTCTTCTTTAGTAACGATTAATAAGTTGACAAAATTAGAATTTTAAAAAACAACTGACTGCCAAAAAGCATATCTTATGTCAGTTTGTCTTCATTTTTTCATTATATTCATAACAACCAAAACAAGCAATAAGCCTACTTCTGATTATTTGTTCTCTGGCACCACTGTACAATTAATCTGCCTCTCGCATAGCATCAACGTGATGAATAAAATTGGTGAGTTAATGCATTTTGTAAATGTGTAAGTAAATGGCATTCTTGGGAGTAACAGACTCTGCCAATCTCATGTGATTCATTGGCTTGAAAGTAGCTTACACTTTGTATGTTTTTGTCATTTGATGTGGAATTAACCTCTGACAGTTACTCATAATGTTCATCACATATATATAAACGAGTTCCAATTTTTTAAAAATAAATATAAGTCCTCATTGGTAAATACAGAGCTATATTAGCAAGCATTCCTCTCAGTATGTTTCTTCTGACCTGTTCTTCCCAACTTGAAAATTATACATCACTTCTAATTCTTACCATGTGTAATCCTGTTCCTGTACTTCTTTCTTGTGTACTTAGGATTTTTTTTTCTTAATATTACTTCAGTGTTTCACACACACACAGAAAAAGACATAGAAATGAAATGTAAGAGTTTAGGTCTAATTTCTGCTCTTCTAAGATAACCCTGACAAATGACAGCCCTCTACTGGTTAATAAATATATTAGTAGAAAAAAATAAATCTCACTGTATTTAGTCAAAGTAAATATAGATAGATAGATAGGTAGATAACAGACAGAAATAACCCAGCTAATGAAATGTAATGAAATGCTTGCATTATTTTATATATTTATTTATTTATTTATTTATTTATTTATTTTTCTGCTTAGAAAACATTGTTTCTAATACAGGTAGGCAGTAGCAGGTCAAGGATATGGCTAGTTCCTAAATTACATAGACTTCTCTAGAGAATACTGTAATTCCTCAAAGAAGCACCCTTTCATAAAACATTAAAAAAACAGTGATGAATGTTAATGATAACTGTCACGTTATTGTGTAAGCGTTTGGTTTGGGCAGTAAAATCATGGAATATCCTAAGACAGAAGAGACCCACGAGAAATAGGTCCAGCTCCTGATTTGAGTCGTGGAAGCCACAAGAACGAAATGCCATACAAGAAAAATACTATTTTTCTGATACTGTCCCTAAGTGAGCTCTGAATGCTTATTAGCAACCAACTAAAAACAAGAACCAATGGGTGGTACTTAGCACAGTAACTGACAATGTGATCCGGTTTACAAACTCAAAATTGCTCGGGTATCTGCATAAAAATTCAGAAATAATGTAAGCGTATGAGAAAACTAAAAAATACTTTCAATATTTTTGTTATTTCTACCAGCTGATCCCCATTTTAGATATTTTTATGCTTTGCAAAGTACTTGTACTGCATGTTACAAAGAAAATGATTTATAAAATAATTTGAAATTTTCCTACATTAAATTAAAACCAAGTGGCAGATTTTAAACTAACACATGGTAGAGTGCATGGCCATTAGCAATGTTCACCCAACCCATAAGGAGCAGAGGAACATGTTAGAGGCTGGGCGCTCCGTTTTTCCTTATGTTGGAAATATCAAAATAATTTTCTAGGACGGTTTCTCTGATAAAGCAAATTTTATTCGCAATTGCAATAGCGGGCCTCCTGCAAGCAGGAGAGCGCAGAGAAAACAGTGTTCCATCTTTTATCCCCTACTGCCCGACTGCTGAGTACTGCAGGTTCACACTCTTTCCCAACGCCTCACTAATCATACAAATACCAAGTAAACACAAATCCTTACCACCCAAACACAAATATGTTAATTGGTTAATTGCCTTCTAACAATTGCTTTCTTAACAAACATTTGGTCGTAACTTTTGGATGTCTGTTTTACAACATAAACATAAACATAGCCTCTTAATTGTTTAATTACCCCCCTAACATTTGTGCCCCTTTTACACTGGGTCATTGTTCTGGTCATCCGTCTGTCCTTGCATAGAGATAATCTCGGAAGGAGGATAGAGGCGAGTATCTTGGAGCCTGCCTACGGCATCCTGACGTTCCCACAGAGTGGGGCAGTTCTGCCTGACTCCTTGAAAGTTTGTTCAATGTACTTCACTTCTGCTGGTCTAATGAACAACCTTACAGTACGTTTCCTACTTCAGAATACTATACCCACATTGTTTAGAACATTTAAAATCTATTGCAGCTTTGTGAGAAAGAATTCGTTAGGTAATTCGGTAACTGTTTCTAAAATATGTTACTAATATGTATATGGTATTCTTCCTTTCCACATCAGCTATTTCTAAGGATATGTTATAGCTTAATTCTTTAGATCAGTTGCCCTTTTTTAATGTTCAATGCAGAAACAACACTTTCACTTTCCACACTTACCCACATTACGGGGAAAAAAGGCAACTACCTACATGCGAACATTGAAGCAAAACAGCCAATATTTACGGGATTGCATCAGGCAGCTGACTCAAGGAACCTGATAAGGGCGCTTTATCAGAAGAACCAGTAAGGCTGGAAGGGACCGCCGGGATCCCTCAGCACCACGGCGCCAGAGGAAACGGATCCGAACGGCCAACCCGAGCGTCCCGGCACGGCTTGCAGCCAGAGCTCGTCCTACCGCTGTTACCGCGAGCAGAGGCCACCCGACCTCAGCACGGCCTCCTTTCAGGCGCTTGTAGGCAGTGCCTCATCTCCTACAGATTTAACGAGCCCCCCCAGAGCCTCGCAGCCCGCGTCCTCTCCGGACGCTCCAGGCCTCGGTGGCGCCCCGCTCATGGCAGCGAGGGGCGCAGAGCCGAGCGGCGCTGAGTGCGGGCGGCCGGTGCCGGCAGCGGGACGCCTGGGCCGGGTTGGTCAGCCGGGCAGCCTGCTGGCTCACGGTCAGCAGGACAACAACCAAGTGCTGGGGAATACAGAGGGACTTAACAGCCCTCACACGGAACAGAGACTGGGAGCGCGTCCCGCTCGGCAGGAGGGCGGCAGGCGGCCCGCCATCACCCCGCTGAGCCTCACAGCGCTTCCTGCCAGAGGCCCAGAAAGTTCTGTGACTTTAACGTAGGCTGGAGGCAAGTTTCTGTCCTTCACCGACCTGAATTCTGGGGTGCTTCTGAGGAGTTCCCTTACTTTGCAGCCGACCGGGCAGCGGCTCTGAAGTCCCTCAGCACTACGGAGCCCTTCCCGCGCCAGGCCGAGCGGCCGGCAGCGCGCTGAGGTACGGCTCCGTGCGCGGGAGCGCGCTGAGGTACGGCTCCGTGCGCGGGAGCGCGCTGAGGTACGGCTCCGTGCGCGGGAGCGCGAGCTGGGTTTCAGTCCGCCTCTGTTGTTTAACAAGCGTAAACTAAACATAAATAATTCGTATTACACACTCAAACGACTCCCGGGGCTCACATTTGTAGTCAGTACACCGACCTCACTGTGAGAGAAAGCAGCGGGGCTCAGCTCACCTCACTGGGGGCGGTTTGAGGACAGCTGAGTCCCTGCCCACCTCATTTTCCACACCGGGGCTCTCGGGGTCCTCCTACCCGGGTCGAACAGGGCCGGGTGCGGGGCACCGGCGCCGGCAAGGTCCTCACACCGTCGCCCCTCGCGAGGCGGCCGCGCTCCAGGCGGGAGGACCGCGCGCTCCTGCCGGCAGGGGGCGCCGCCGAGCGCCGCTCGCCTCGCAGCTCCGGGCGCGGGCGCTCGACTCGCGCGCAGGCGCCGTCGCAACGGTCGCGGGGCGGCGATGGCGGCGCTGCTGGAGCACGAGAGCCAGATCTTCCTGGACCTGTTCCATCAGGACGGGCTCGTGGTCTGCGCCCGCGGGCTCGGCATCGATCGCTTGCTGCTGCGCTTCCTCCGCCTTTACTGCGAGCCCGCCAGCCTGGTGCTGGTGCTGAACACGAGTCCCGCCGAGGAGGTGAGCGCAATTCCGCGCGTTCCAGGGAGCGGGGCGGGGCGGGGCGGGGGGGCGGCGGGGCGCGGAGCGGGCCGGAACCGGCCGCGGCTGCGGGCTTTGAAGCGAAGTTCGACGCGATGGCCGCCCTGCCTTTGGCAGCGAGCGCTCCCTTTCCGACTCTCCGTCTGTAAGGCGGTATCAAAACCGCCTGTGCTCTTTAGAAGTGCCATAAGTGCTGTAACAACGCGGCGGAGAACTGGGTGCTAAAAACTCCGAACGCCGACGTGCCGCGGGTCACGTTTATTTACGTCCTGGGTGTCTGCTACTGCAAGTGTGCCGGGCTGTGGGTCACCCGAACAGGCTGGTGCTTAAGCTCGATAGCTGCAAGAAACGGAATCACAGCTCTCTTTAGGTAGCATCTCACGCTGCCATGTTTTCAGTTGGTTTGGGGCCTTTTTTCCAAATAAATGGAACGTGTGTAACTAAGGTTCTCTTCACGTCTGTAATGAAGTTTTGTGTTCTCACCGTGCCTGCTGCAGGAGTATTTCATTGACCAGCTGCGGTCGGACGGAGTTGTGCACCTTCCTCGGCGCGTCACCAACGAGATCCCCAGCAGCACCCGCTACGAGTTCTACACGCACGGCGGGGTTCTCTTTGCAACCAGCAGAATCCTCGTGGTCGACTTCCTTACCAACAGAATTCCTGCAAACCTCATCACTGGTAAGAGCTTACTGAAAGAAATGGATGACTGTTCTGTTGAAAAATACGTTAAGCTTAACTCTGTATAGAGTCCTACTAATGGTGTTGAGGTTAAAGAATTATTTCTTTAAAACGGCTTCGGTGAAAGGCACAAATATGTAGTTCCTTCCTTTTTTCTTTTAATGGTCATCATAGAATCACAGGGGCTGGAGGGGACTTCAAGAGATTGTGGAGTCCAATCCCCTGCTAAAGCAGGGCCTTGCAAGAGGTCGCACTTGTTTGCTTTGTTTAGTCACACAACACTCACATTGCTTTTAGATAGTGGATAACGCATCTGTATGGATTTTGATATCAGTAACCACTTGGAAAACAATCACCGGTTAAATTGCCATTGACGTAAGAAACATAAGCATTCACACTGCCTGCATTGCTTCCCAAGTAGAATAATTGTCTGTGCCTGTTGAAATAGCATCTCGAATACTCAGAACGCAGCCTGTAATTGAAACTGATGGCTAGTGTGTATGGTTGATAAGCATGCAGTTTTGTGCTTTAATGAATTCCTCATGACAACTTTTCTCATCAAGTAAAATAACAATACCTAACTAATGTTCCTCTTGTAGCACTTAGATGCTTTCTAATATGAAATAACAATGTTCTAAAGATCTTTAGAAATACCTTGTGACCTTCTATTGTTGTATAGAACTTGTGCATGCTAGTTCTCCCATGTTCTGTTCCCTTTCTTTCCCTGCTTGTTTTTATATTCTTGTGTAAGGTGGAAGCCCTCTTAAAGCCCACAGAGCTAGTAAAACAGGTATTAAGAGCCAGGGATATAGGAATATTTCAGTGTTACGTAAATGTTAACATCTTAATAATGGCTGAATATCGAATGCTCAGATTTACGTAAGTTTTTGCTTCAGAAACTCTCTTTTGTTTTAGTCAGTGTATGAGAAGTTCTAATCTGTGAAACTTTTTAAATGGCTTTCATGCTACAGTCAAAGGACACCACGCTCAGTTCTGTTATTTCTAGGTTAAAAAAAAGTAAAGTTTTGAGACACCCTACTTTGGGTTTGTGTGGATGAAAAGAAAAAACACATTAGAGACTTAAAAAACCAAAAACCTCCTGACCTGAAATGACCTGTGGATGCCCCATCCCTGGAGGTCTTCAAGGCCAGGTTGGATGGGGCCCTGGGCAGCCTGGTCTGGTATTAAATGGGGAGGTTGGTGGCTCTGTATGTGGCAGGGGGGTTGGAGATACATCATCTTTGAGGTCCCTTCCAACCCTGGCCATTCTGTGATTCTGTGACCTAGAGTTGTCGTACTCCTCGTGGTGCCACCAGAGGTCAGTGTGACAGCAGCTTTGGCTGAAACGTGCTTCTGTTAGATACATGCCGCCTGTATGTCAGACACTGCAAAATCAGCAGAAATTTGTTTCTTGGGCAACTAACGTAGGAAAAAAAACACAGTAAAGTGTTTCAAAGTGTTAGAGATGTGGCATGTCAAAATGAATGAAGAAAGTCGTTATAAAAGTTAGATTCATTTTAAGCCCCTCAGTTTACTGAGGCATGCAATGAAAGCTTTACTGTTTGATGTCTTTAGCTTCCATTTTAGGAATGTTTATTATTCCAGTGGAAGCTGTGAACAGATAAAAAATATCAGGTAGGCCTCTCCTCACTGGAGGAGAGTGGGAAAAACATGGCATGCTGTAAGTCTTGGGTTTAACAAGTCTTGTCTGAGTGAAATGTAAATCCCAAAAGTATTTGCCTCAAAGGCTTAAGGCAGTTTCACTATTGTTTCATTTCTCTGTACTAAAATGCATATGATAGTTTTTTCCCAATGCTCATAGCCGTGAATAAAGATGCTGGCCTAGCCAGTTAGCTGAAAATCCTTTCTGTCCACAGTTCTGAATATCAATATCAGAAGGATGGGAAATAGCACAGAAAATGTTTTCAGAAGTTCTTTAGGATAGTTCAAGTTTTTTGATAATCAAGAAACATATTCAACAAGTCTATGATTACAGAACTTCTGTAATAAAAGAGTTCAGATATCAAACTTGCTCTGTGGTGATACTGTGTTACATCTTGCATTCAGTCTTCCTCCCTTTAGACGTCCCAAGTCCAAGTTTTGCTTAAAGAATGAAGCACCATGGAAGCTACTGAAGTCCTGCTACTCAAGCGCAGGATTTTTTTGCTCTGTAACTGGGAGGCTCTGTGGTACTGAAATCGAGCAGTTGCTAGGTTTCAGGAGAGGGACTGACTTTTTACACAGGCAAGTAGTGATAGGGCAAAGGGGAACAGCTTTAAACTGAAAGAGGAGAGATTTAGGTTACATGTCAGGGGGAAATTTTCAGTCAGAGGGTGGTGAGCTGCTGGCGCAGGCTGCCCAAAGAAGCCATGGATGCCCCAGCCCTGGAGGTGTTTGAGGCCAGATGGGATGGGCCCTGGGCAGCCTGAGCTGGTGGGGGGCAGCCCTGCCCATGGCCAGGGGGCTGGACTTCAGTGATCTTTGAGGTCCTTTCTAACCCAAGCTATTTTATGAACGCCTGTAGGTTTGTTTGACATCATTTTAGAAGAAACAACTGAAATTGTACTTTAACAAAAGCAGAAGAGTAAGACAAACTTGGGGAAAAATATATAACATATTCAGTCTTTCTTTACTACTTTTTAACTTGAAAACCATTTATTTTCCCAGGTGTTTTGGTATACAAAGCACATAGAATCATTGAGTCTTGTCAGGAATCATTTATATTGCGACTTTATCGCCAAAAAAACAAGGAAGGCTTCATTAAAGCTTTTACAGATAATGCGGTTGCATTTAACACTGGTTTTTGCCAAGTGGAAAGAGTGATGAGAAATCTTTTTGTCAGGAAACTTTACCTGTGGCCAAGGTAAGGTACCCCTTTACTACACTGAACTTAAAATTACTGTGATTTGTGACTTCTAACAAAATGAATTTTATGTAGTCACACTGCTAATCTGTATTCTGTATTTGTATACAGAAGCTCATTTCACTCATTTATTAACTGAAGTTATTTTAAAGATGCTAAATTTTTCAAGGTATTTTTGAGAATAGACTCAAGTTAAATCTATAAGAAGCAGAACCTTACGGTATAACCATCCTTCAAGCCAGTAGAAATCATAGTAGATAGTGATATTCATAATAGTTTAAGAAAAGTGTAATTTGTTAAAGATCATCTTGAAGCCATGAAGTAACAGGAATACTGTCCTGCAATTCTGCCATGCACGGGAGGATTTGTTTCCAATCGTGAAGAAGCTCCATGATTATCTCTGTGTTTTATTGGTTTGTGTTTAATCAGTTGTTGGGGTTTTTTTGTAATCTTCTCTATGCGTATGTCATCTATGAGGAATATTTCTTGATAACTGTTAGAAACTAAGTCGCCAAGCCTGTGGCATGCATTAAGGCGCAGAAGGTGCAGAAGCACGGAGTTGATCAGTTCAGCTGATCACCCATCAGTGCTCTTGCCCTGGGCAGGGGGTATGCATAACTGCTCCAGTCTAGAATGTGTTTCACTCCACCTCATGTTCTCACACTCTGCACTGTAAACTCAAAATTTTAAGTTTTCCTTTTAGCATTACAGAGAAATAGAAATGGACATAGGAAAGGTTGAACACAAACTCTAAATTTTCTACCTTGGCTTCTGAACTATGGAGCAACCTGAGGGTGGTGGTGTTCTTCTGTTGTCTTCTGTTAAAATCAGCTAGCACCCACATAGCAATGGCTTCATTGTTACAACACAGCCCTTATAGCCAAGGGCCTGCTGCTTATTATTCAAAGCTAAGGCTATCACAGTGTTTGCCAGTGGATCCATGTGATTCCAAAGGGTTTATGAGACCATTACAGTTTCCTCTTTACGAGATCTTTTGTTTTTACTTCAGGATTTGATACCTGCAATAATGATGTGGAATCTAGAGCAGTAATTCTCCAGGGATCAGTCACAGTGCTATAGGCTCATTTGCTGAGGACGAAAACAGTCGTAGTTGGGGAATCATCAGGTGGTTTTATGAGACCATTCATTAAGACTGTAGTCGTTGCCTCTGTACAGTTATGATTTGC